CTGCCCCAGAACACAGGAACCCCAAGGAGACTGCAACCAGAAAGGCCTCTGCCCCCACCGAGAGGCAAAGAGGATCACCCCGTGGGGCCACAACCAGCAGCCGGCAGAGTCCCGGGAGATATCAGCGGCAAGCCCACAGGCCTGCCCGCAGCCTCCCAACCCCTAGCCGGCCGAGCCCGGGACCCAGCGACCCGGGACCAAGGGGCGGCCACCCCCGCCGGGGACCATGCAGAGAGCAGGGACCCAGACCCCACCAGACAGCCACAGGGATTTATCAGGCAGATGCCAAAAATCTTAAATTCCCTGACCCGGGAGCCACGAACATTCAGGCAGACCAAGGCACCACACTCCACACCAGGTGTGGCAGGGGGAGAGGAGACGAGGAACTATATCATCAAAAGGAGTCCCAGGAGAAGGGAGGAGTCCAAGGCCCCTCCTGACAGATACAGTCATACACAAACACAGTCATACACTCCCTCCCTCATGCTCACACATACACGTACAACCAAAGACTTACAAAAATGATGCCGGACACCCACTCATGCTCCCCATACACACCCTATTCACTCTGGTCCCGGTACTGCTGCACATGGGGTACAACCATTACCGGTTACCAGAGTTTGACCCTTTCTGCTGGGGTGCTGATGAGCAGGCTCCCCCGCCCAAAGCTGAGCACAGCAACCCACCACCCCAGACCCCAACCAGACGGCCAGATCTCCCTCCTAGCCTCCAGCACCAGGAAGCCAAGCAACAAGAGAGGTGTGCTAAGACCCCTAGTCTCCCTCCACCTGCTCCAATGTAGTGTTAGTGTGTTGATGAGGTGTATTCCATTGCTGTGGTGAGCGGGCAGTGCGGGCATCGTCTGGCCTATGCCAGCTGATGCCACCGCACCACCCCACTTGCACCCACAGCCCTCGGTGTCTAAGAGCAGTTTAAAATTGGAAGTGGGCACCGGCACTCGGGATGAGGCTGAGAAATCCCCCTCCAACTGCCGTTGAATGTGCTCACTCCCAAGGCCCTAAGTGTGTGTTTGCGTGGAATGTCGTTGGTGGAAGTGTTTAAGGTGCAAATAAAATTGGGGGGCAGGCTACCACAGGAATGCGGAAATGGGGTCCATACCCACACTCCCTGACTTGTCTACCCCCCAAGGTCCTATGTGCATGTTTGTGTGATGATGTGAGGGAGCAGGAGGAGAAAAATATGCAGGGATGGGGAGGAATGGCTGGTTGGGCTTAGCCCTCCAGGGAGCCCGCTCTCCCACTGGCCCCAGTAGGCACCCCTGTTGTTAAAATGCCACCCAGGGCATGGAAACCCCAGCCCATCTTGCCAGGGCCCAAAGTAGCAGCATTGCAGAGCCTCACGGAGTCCGAGGGCACCAGCCCAGCCTCATCCCAGCACAATATCTACGCCCATCCCTGCATTTGCACAACTTTCAGACTGTATAAGACATAGGACATCCAGGTAAGGTTGGGTCATCCCCCTCCTGGACCTCCCCCTCCCCTGTGATGGGACAGCAGAGGAGCCAAGGCCTACCTGATGCCCCTGAACCCGGGCCAGGCACTGCTGCATGTTCCTGCCTTCTTCCCGGCAGCATACATGTCAGGACCCAACCCCCAAGGCCCCGCCCAGATCCCCACACGGAGCCGGCCACCCCCACACCCCGAGCCCCTAGGCCCCCACCGAGACCCGCCCGGGGGCAATGCAGCTGCCAGGCAGTCACCCATGGCCACCGCCAAGACCCCCAAGGGGCCCCACTCACAACTGCCAGTAGTGCTTAGACTCTATCAAAACCTGGATGGCTGGGAGCTTTCTTCAGCTGAATGAAGATAAGACTGAGATCCTCATCTGTGCCCCAGACAAGCTGGTTCCCAACGTCAGAGACTCTCTTGGTCAGCTTGCTTCCCACACCAAACCTTCTGTCAGGAATCTTGGCGTGACCTTTGACCCAGCTCTCATCCTGGATTCTCATGTCAGTTCTCTTGTTCGCTCTTCCTTCTTCCATCTCAGGAACATTGCTAAGCTGAGTCCCATTCTGTCTCGCTCTGAACTTGAGACAGTTATCCACACCTTCATCTCCTCACGCTTAGACTACTGTAACTCTCTTTTCACGTGTCTGAGCAGAACCTCCCTGAACCATCTACAGGTGGTTCAGAATGCCTGTGCTAGGCTTCTGACCAAGTCCTCCAAACACACCCACATCACCCCACTTCTCCTCCAGCTTCACTGGCTGCCAGTCAACTTCAGGGTTCATTTCAAGATCCTGGTTCTGGTCTATAGGGCCTTACATGGACAAGCACCATCTTACATTGGTGATCTTCTTAGTCCCTACACCCCCAGCAGGTCCCTGAGGTCCAGTGATCAAAGCCTACCGGTTGTGCAACGCACCAGGCTAAAGACCAAAGGAGACAGATCATTTGCTGCTGTGTCCTCCAGACTCTGGAACTCTCCCCGCCTGAGCCTGAGATCAGTGGACTCAGTGGTCTCCTTTAAAAAGCAGCTGAAGACTCACTTGTTCAAGCTGGCTTTTGTATGACCTTCTTCAACCACTCTCTCTTTATTCTGCTCTCCCCACCTATTCCACCTTCCTCAGGATCCACTGATTTCCCTCTTTCCTGTTCACTCTCTCTCTCTTTCTTAACATTTTTTCTTTTAAATCCCAATCGTCTATTTTTGCTCATTTTAAATATATTTTTAAACATTTTCTAAATGCTTTTTCATATTTTAACTTTTTTTTGTTGTTTTTGTGAAGCGCCTCGTGATTTTTATCTTGAGAGGCGCTATTGAAATGATATTTTCTTCTTCTTCTTCTTCTTCTTCTTCTTCTTCTTCTTCTTCTAGTCCACCCCCGAGGCAACCCAAGCACCTCCGTCAACAGCCCCCCGGTCCCAGACACCCCTGTGAACCCACCTCCAGGGAACATCCGGATACTCCAAACTCAGACCCTCCACCCCCTCACCCTCATCATCCTGCAGGACAATATCAATGGTCCCCCATCATCGCTATGTGATGGAACTGATCAAAGG